TGTACATACGTACATGTATATACACACATTTAATGACCAACACAGTCCCAACTTAGATGTATCTAAGAAATACCTGGATCTGAACACCTGTTTGTGTGCGGTTGTGAGCATGCATGTTTATACAAGGTTTCTCCATTGGAATGTTTAATGGTGACTGTGGAGACCCACAGACCTGACCTCCAAGACCAACATAAGGCAGACTTAACAGAGACCAGAGCCAAAGACCCTGAGAAGGACAATTGAGTTAAGGTCAAGGACAGTTAAAATGTGTTTGTGCCGACACACTCTGTGTTGAAGCCTGGCAGGGAGGCATGTAAAATCTGGTGGCCCGCCAGGCTTACAGTGTACTACAGGAAACCTGGGATACAAAAGACACTAACCTTGAGTCATATTGTTTAAAGCTAATGATGGATGGATTGACATTTAAACATTTGTCTTTCTTTTTAAATTCTAATTTACCATTGACAGGGCCAACAGATTCTTCTTCTTCCATCTTGAAACRTGCTAAAGCACAATGAATTGTGGTAAATACTGAGGGTTAATGTGCAGTAGGTTGTTTTCCTCTGTAATCTGCTGATCTCTAAAAACAAACAAAACAAAAAAATAGAAAAAATTTTCAATGCAGAACCCTGAAAAAGTCTCACTCAACAGAATTTGTAAGGCTTACTGTTTATTGGCACTAAATGTAAGTGTCACTGTGTTTCATTRAGTTACCAGACAAATCCATTTCCAGTCTGGTGAAGTATTATTATTCATGGAAGAAGACACGCTCCAGAACAAGCCTGATGGACAGACAGGCCCGAAAACTGGCCACGAGGAGCAACCAGGATGACAGGTACCTGCATGAAGTTGTCAGTGTTATTTTTGGGTTTAAGTAAATATGTGTGTATTTAGGGCTGCAAGGTTAGTTGACATAACAATATCGATTATAAAAAATAAGTCAACAAGGCATTTTAATGTCAACGTGTTGTAATATTAAACCATGTAAAATGTTAATTTGTAACTGCACTGTGATACTTGAAGTGCTGGGGGCAGAATCCCTTCTACTGTCTGTGGTTGTATTCTTTATGAAGTAGAACATGAACACCTGAAACCCAAACATTATACAGCCGTGAATATCATGTCCACTCCAGATGGGTAAGTTTCAGCAAGTTGGCTGTGTCAGGTTAATGCCTTGTAGATCTTATTTTCAGTGACTTATTTTCAGAAAAGGTGTAAGTGTAAGTGGACACTAGTTCCGTTATGTMAACACTATCTAAGTGCCATCACATCAAATCACTGATATATATTAATAATTCATCCTGTCTCATCCTCTCCCATTTTTTGATTGTGTTGAACTTATATCTGAACGTTTGGACTGCTAGATCCAATAAGATTTCAAAAAGGATGGATTATTTTTTTACTTCTTACTTTTTGCAGTTGAATGTCACTTAAAAGTTATTCTTTATTTTCTTAGAACTTTGCCTTTTTTCTTGGTCCAGAAGCCTCTGATCTCATTCACCATTTATTATCTGTGATGATCAGCATTTCTTGATTCGTGAAAGTCTCTCTTTGGACTTGCTTTGGCTTTGAGCTGGATCTGGTCTCAGGTCCCTCTCTGAGATCAGGAAATGAACTTTGTTCGGAGTCTGTAGTTTCTTCCAGTCGTGTGAATCTGTTTTGAAGAAAGATTGCTCCGTCTTCATTTCTCTGGCTGTTATCAGTTGTTTTGATTACAGCCTGTTGCTTTCTTCTCCTTGCTGGTGGAGAAAAAGCATTTCTCTCTAATTTTGGCCATTCGTTGTCATCTAAGAGCTGAATTCTTCCTGAGAGATTTTTTTTGCTCTGGCAGAAACAGAGTTCCATACAGCTTCACCCTCAGAAGCAGCTTCCATCTCCTCATCCAGTTGATCTCTCTTCTCAGCCTTCTCAGCCGTTTGAACGCATGTTGAGTCCTCCGAAGCATTCATCTCTTCCATATGATGAATCTTGAGCTCCAACACCGTCACTTTAAGAGAAGCTGACAGAAATCCTCTTTGGAAAAGAAAGGAGGCATCTTGAAGCTTTTATGTTCTCACTCTCACTCTCAGCAGATGATGTTATAAAATCTTCTCAGGT